ACTCCTTTGAGAAAGAAACCCCAACTTTCTCATTGGAGGTAAGTTCTAATCTATTTGTTTACATGTTTGTTTTGGTTTTGATCTTGTTTAGATTTGTATTGAACAACTCTTTATGAGCTTTTTGTTTACTTTTTAGAAATTGATTTCAATTTGTTAGCTTTTGTAGTTTGAATGTCATATTTATTGATAAACGTGTTCAGTTAAAATACCGTTAATGTGTTGACTATTGTTGATGTTGTGATTAATTGCTGAAAATTTCAACATAGACGAATGAGAAATTAGTTTTTGTTTCCAATTCCAAAAAGAGTAGGAGTATAAACTCTAATTATTTGATGAATATTTTCCCAAAAACATAAAATAAAAATGATTAGATGATTACAAATAAGAGCATATATTTTATGATAAAGAGTTTCTATAGTTTACATCTTAAAACTAGAACTAGAATTACAACACAATTGGGAATACATTATATAATAGAAGCAAAGACGTTGTAAGGTCTTTATTGATGAAAACTTCAATCTATTTTTCTCAAATTTTTTAATTTTTACAATGTAAAAATCTATGTGTCATATTGTTGGTTTTCATCAATTTTTTTTTTCTTTTTTAATTTTAATTATCAATATGACAATACCTTTCAAATTTTGTCCATTTATTAGAGAATCTTTGGAATTTTCAACAATATGGAAACTTTCTATTTCTTAAATTGATGATGAAAATCTCAATATATGTTTTTTAAATTGTTAGTGACAATTGATTTGTGAACCGCTTGTTTTTCCTTAATTGGATAGTAAATTGAAATTAAAAAAATAAAAAATTGAGGACTTCTTGTTTTTTCCTTTGTAGATTTTTTGGTTTTTGCTTTTGAGGACTTTTTGTCCTCCTTTGTACTTCTCTTTTCTCCTTTTTAATAAAATTCTTCTTTTATTGCTGATCCCCCAAAAAAAAAAGATTGAAATAATTTTGTTTACGATATAATAATAATAATAATAAAAGTTATGGCTTTTGAACAGATTGTTTAAGAGAGGATTTTTTCTTAAACTTGAGTCCTATTTCCTCTTCTTCTAGCAGCATTTCTTCTTTAAACAGCTAGAAATTTAGCATTAGCTTTGTGTTGTCTTTAGATTGTATTAACCTGATGAAAAAGCAGGGGCATGTTGCCTTCTTGTGGGAAATCATTTTTTTCATTGTTATTGGGTGAACCTCTTGAGTAGTTAATGATTGCAGGTTCATTAAATGATGGGACATTATAATCAATTGAAGATGAGGGTATTTATAATAGTAAGAAATTAATAACAAAAAAAAACAAACAAAAAAACTAAAGCTATTTATTGGTATTTGTGTTTCTTGAAGCAATGAAGTTGACTTGGCATTTTGTAGATTATAGTGTGGTTGACTAAAATATTTTAACTGATGTCCTGGTTGAGAAATCTGAGACATAGAATTTTTATCTTTTTAATAATGTATGTGATAATGATCATTAGTTTAGAATGTTAACTACTAATACTTTTTGTGTTTATTAGTTTTTATTGAGTTTTATGAAATGTGGTTGATTATGATACTATTATTTTGAGCTTTTAATCTTCATAAATACTCAATTGCTCATTTTCTTCAACATTTTCATGGGAAATTACTGGGCCATTGGTTTTATTTGGTGTACTTTCTGAACTATAATGCGTTTTTCAGATTCAGTTATACTGTGTTGGTAATAAAGAACAAATAGATAAACACATTTTCTATTTGGAAATCATGGATAGATTTCTCATTTAGTTGCCAAATGAACTTCTATTTCAAAATTTTCCATTGTTCCACTCCATTGTTGTTGAAGTGCTCCATTGCTTTTTATGTAGCTACGTTCCCATGTTTGGAGAAACTGAGTTTGATCTGATTCGATAGTTTCATTCAATAGACATAGAGGAACAGCTTGATGCTCTAGGCAGAGCTATTGGTAAGGTTAGTGGAGCTCTCTAGGGATGGAAATTTGAACCCGACATCATCTCCGTTGATCTCCCCGCTCCCCAAGGTTGGAAGAAGAAGGTTCAGTTCTCTCTCTCTCTCTCTCTCTCTCTCTCTTTTTCTCTCTTCGTAACCCTCTATTTCTCTCTCTAGATCTCTCACTTTCTCTCTTTATTTCTCGGAGAGGGTTCAAGGTTTGCTTTGCTGTCTCAGATCTTAGCGATTCGAATCTCTCAATCGGTTTCTCTCTTATAGATTCAAGTTCTGATCTCGGAGGTTCGATCTCGCCACCATAGCGGCCACTAATGCTCCGATCAGCATGAGGGAGGCCTTCACGGTAAATTTCGTATTCCACTTCTTTAACTTGGAATTCTTTGCTAACTTGAAAGAAACGGTTGTGTTTCGAACTGATATTGAGAATTTGTTTTTTGGTATTGAGAATTTTTGGCTTCGTAATGATGGGGATTTGATTGTGGTCTTTGTTTGTTGCGAGCTGTGTTGATGCAGTTGTCTAGCATAGGGATCAATCCACAGTTTATCACGTTCACTCATGTTACCATGGAATTCGATAAGTATATATGCGTTCATGGATTTTTTGGGGTTGGGAAAACTTGATCCCCGTTAGGGGGGGCGGGGACAAGGACGGGGATGGTGATACCTTCGGGAATCGGGGATGGCGAGTGTAATCTTCGGCCTCCCCCCGGCCCGTTGCCATTCCTAGAGCTATCAGGGGTTTTGCTACTTTTGTAGCCATTATCTCTATACCCATGTCATTTCTAATTTTCCTAATATAGTCAAAGATGTTTTATTAGATCAGATATGTTGGGCTTAGTAATGAAACGCCATATGGTGTCATGAAGTTTCTTCACACTGCCAAATGCGGCCATGGTTTTCCCTAAGATAGTATCTTCATAGGTATTATATGCTCAATTTTAGGGCAGAAATTAGCAACTCTTCATTGGGGTGTGTGTGCATGTGCTATCTGCAAGCTGAGGCTAATTGGTAACTCATTTTCTTTGTTTCACAATTCATCTAACTTCTTTGCTGAAATTTTGATTGTGAGCTGGCTGAATGCTATCATCATGAGAGGTATATTGATTAGTAATTGTGCCTTATAATTTTAGTAGTATGTTGTTTTCCCTTTCTCACTATTACACCTTTTTCAGGGTGAGCTTATTGTGCCTGTTTGGCACAGCTTAAAAGCTGCTTATTTCAACTTTTAACTTAATTTAAGTTAAAATATTGTGTTTGGTGTAACTTAACTCAACAGATTATAGCTTAAGTTAAGCTATTTTTAGCTTATTTTCCAAAGCTGCTCCAGTGGTGCGTAAAAAATTCAACTTAGGGAGCTTCTATTTACACATCCACCTTCCCCTCTTTGCACACACTTTATAAAAATTATTTTTATTATAAATTTTTTTTAAGTGAAATTACTATTATAGACATCAAATAAACACATTCGGAAGTTGAATGTCGAAAAAATAATAAAAATTCGGAAGTCTACTTCCGAACCAACTGTTTATTTTCGGAAAGCTACTTCCGAACCAATTGCTTATTTTCGAAAATCTACTTCCGAACCAACTGTTTATTTTCGGAAAGCTACTTCCGAACCAATTGCTTATTTTTGAAAATCTACTTCCGAACCAATTATTTATTGAAAAAGATATGTAAAGAGGGGAATGAGTGTGTGTAAATAGAAGCTCCCTTCAACTTATGCGCGCAGCTGATATTGGAGGCTAAAATGACTTAAATATCCCTCCAAAATTGAAGAAATTACGAACCTACCATGATATATACCCTCTTCTTAGTTGCCCCAACCTCCTCTCCTCTCATGCTACTCTCCTCTCTGCTTCTCCTCTCCTCTCCTCTTGGCGACCGACGACGACTCCTCCACATCGCGAAGATCGCAGCCGATCGATCAGTTTGGCCCTTTGTTTTTCGTTGATCTGCACAAAAAGGTAAGATTTCATGCCCTTTGTATGTTATATATATACACATTGATTTAGGGTTTTTTTTTTGGTTGTGAAATGGTGTGCGAGTTCTAGGGGTTTATCCTTTTTTGTAGGATAGAAAATCTGGGGGTTCTCTGTTCTTGGGTATTCATCCTTTTTCATCACTGATCGAACCTTTTCCGTAGGTCTAAAAATTGATGCTCGCAGGAGTTTGGGGTTGATTCTAAACAGTAGGGGGTTGGGGTTCTTTTGCCCAGAATAAAACTATTCAAAGTCCTACTGAAACTCATACGTAGCTCCACTACAAGCTAGATTTGAATCTTTCATGAAGATTAATTCCCTGTTAGGCATGGGTTCTCTTTAATAGGGGTGAGCAGCGGATACACCGATCCGCCAAAACCGACCGAACCGAACCGAACCGATCCGATCCGCCGCATTTTGGACGGATGCGTGATGACGAGCGAACGGTTGCGGATTGATTTTCTCCAATTCGCCAATTTGGCGAACGGATGGCGGATTTGAGATTCCTTTGGCCGCAACCGAACCGCCTAACCGCGAGCACCTCTAATAATTTATAAGACTTTATGTTTTCAATTTGTTTAAATATTTTGTTTGTGTTTTCAATTGAAAAAGAGTTTAAATATTAAGTTAAAATATTGTGTTTGGTGTAACTTAACTCAACAGATTATAGCTTAAGTTAAGCTATTTTTAGCTTATTTTCCAAAGCTGCTCCAGTGGTGCTTAAAAAATTCAACTTAGGGAGCTTCTATTTACACATCCACCTTCCCCTCCTTGCACACACTTCATAAAAGTTATTTTTATTATAATTTTTTTTTAAGTGAAATTACTATTATAGACATCAAATAAACACATTCGGAAGTTAAATGTCGAAAAAATAATAAAAATTCGGAAGTCTACTTCCGAACCAACTGTTTATTTTCGAAAAGCTACTTTCGAACCAATTGCTTATTTTCGAAAATCTACTTCCGAACCAATTATTTATTGCTGATATTGGAGGCTAAAATGACTTAAATATCCCTCCAAAATTGAAGAAATTACGAAACTGCCATGATATATACCCTCTTCTTAGTTGCCCCAACCTCCTCTCCTCTCACGCTACTCTCCTCTCTGCTTCTCCTCTCCTCTCCTCTTGGCGACCGACGACGACTCCTCCACATCGCGAAGATCGCAGCCGATCGATCAGTTTGGCCCTCTGTTTTCCGTTGATCTGCACAAAAAAGGTAAGATTTCATGCCCTTTGTATGTTATATATATACACATTGATTTAGGGTTTTTTTTTTTGGTTGTGAAATGGTGTGCGAGTTCTAGGGGTTTATCCTTTTTTGTAGGATAGAAAATCTGGGGGTTCTCTGTTCTTGGGTATTCATCCTTTTTCATCACGGATCGAACCTTTTCCGTAGGTCTAAAAATTGATGCTCGCAGGAGTTTGGGGTTGATTCTAAACAGTAGGGAGTTGGGGTTCTTTTACCCAGAATAAAACTATTCAAAGTCCTACTGAAACTCATACGTAGCTCCACTACAAGCTAGATTTGAATCTTTCATGAAGATTAATTCCCTGTTAGGCATGGGTTCTCTTTAAGTATATTTTATTATTCAGTTAGTTCCTTTATCTATTTCTAGATTATTGCCCTGTTGTTATCAGATCTATATATCCCAAAATGAGCTAAAGATCTATCTTTTTCCTTCAAATTTTTCAGATCACTACCCCTCCACTTTTTTTTCCTGGAATAAGAGTCATCCCAATTTTGAAAAGTAGTCTTTCTTTGTTATTTAGTTGTTTTTCTGAACTGGGTTTTTGAAATTTCAAACAAATCTTTGGTTTTCTTGCTTAATCTGGAAAGAAAACTATATGTGGGTTAGTTTTTCTGAGAATGGAAAGTTCTAGAGGCAGGAGAGCGGAGAATAGAGTGTACGAAGAGAGTTTGGAGGATCAAGATGATAGGATGCTTCATTTGAAGAAGCCAATGCTACTGGGTTTGGCTAGGACTGTTGTGCTGTTTCTGTGTATATAAATGTTTCTACTTCTGAATTTCTTGATTCTGTTCATGGGTATTGCTTAGATTCTTTCATTTTCTATTCAGATTTGGATTTATGGTATTACAAGTTTGATATATGCTGCATATATACACATGTATTATGTTATGCAAGTGTGAACATGTGAATGTATGTGTGCTGTTATAGTTTAACCTGTGATTTCTGTGGAAAAAACTGGGAGAACCATATGATAGAGGAACTTCAATCTGATGGTAGATTTCTCCTTGTGAAGAGGCCAGATGAAGGTTTACTTGCTGGCCTCTGGGAGTTTCCATCTGTCCTGTTGGGGGCAGAGACTGACTTGGCCACGAGGAGAAATGCTATTGATAAGTTTTTGAAGAAGTCTTTCAATCTAGAGTAAGCTCTCTGTGTTATATTTAGACTTTTCTTTGCTTGTGATGGCATGAAGGTGGGATGTATGTTTTTTGCATGAAAAAGCAGACAACAAAACTATGGCTTGGAAATCTGTCGATAGCAAGACCCTTTCAAGCATGGGATTAACATCTGGAGTAAGAAAGGTAACATGGAAAATGCTAATGGTTGCCTATTATAGGTTCCCACATTTGTTTGATTTGGATTATGTACAAATATCTTTCTGATGCAGGTTTACTCTATGATTGAGAAGTTCAAGCAAAACAAATCTAAACCCATCCCAGGAAAAGCAAGAAAGAAAAAGAAATCATGAAACTAAAGGGTGCGTGACGTAGTCAACAAGATGCTAATTGTGTAGATTGCTTCAAGGTTTTCTCTTCCAGAAGGCTGCACCATTTGGTTGGTAAGCAAACATCCGCTTGCAAGAGTTCACAATTCAGCTTCAGATGGTTTTTATTTGCTGCATGTGTTTCATAAACAAATGAGTATTTATGGACATCATTAAAATTTATGTTTAATGACCATTTTGCTATGCTTCTGTATATTCTTATAATATGGTGTCACATGATTTGTTAAAATTGTAAAATTCTCATTTTACCCTCATGCATATTTCTAAAAAGAAAAAAAGTGAGGATATTTCGATAATTTTCAAGCTGACTTATATCCATATTCCCAGATGACTTTTTGCTTTAAAAAGCTGACATTTTTCTTATTTGAAATAAGCAAAAAGGTTGCCTTATATTCATCTTTCCGAAATGTCCCTTAGTCTTAATTTGAATTTGAGGAGTCCTTAATAAGTTTTGTCCTTGAAAGGGATAATAGTCCTATGAAATAAAGGGGGTGTTTGGTAGAACTTATAAGCAGTTTATTTCAGCTTTTAACTTAATTTAAGCTAAAAATTTGTGTTTGGCTCAGCTTATTTCACCAACTTATAGCTTAAAATAAGCTAATTTTCAACTTATTTGAAAAGTGAGTCAGGGGATGCTTATATTTTTAGCTTAAGCGCGCAGCTGCACAGTGGGTAGTAAAATGACTTAAATGCCCCTCCTAATCTCCATTATTTACGAACATGCCACTATATAAACCACATCTCAATACTACTGTTCACGGACCAGAGAGAGACGAAGGCGATTTCAGGCGTGCGCAGGCGATTTCCGGCGTGCACAGACGATTTTCGGTGTCGACAACCCTAACCCTAACCCTAACCACCGCCATTGACGACGTGACGATCTCAAACCAGAGCTCATTGTCGCGATCTCAAACCAGAGCTCACTGTTGCATTGCGATCTCAAACCAGAGCTCACTGTCACAATCGATCCACACCGTTGTAATCTGAAACCAGAGCTCACCGTCGTGTCACGATCTCAAAGCAGAGCCCTCTCTCTCTCTCTCTCTCTCTCACGAACTAAAGGAAGTGGCTAGGGCGCCATCGTCGTTGCCTCCTCTCTTTCTCTTCGCGATCTGTGATGTGAAACCCTAGCCACCAACGGCGGTAGCTAGGGTTTGTAATGGAAAAAAAATTAAAAAATGAAATACAAAAAAATTGAAATTGAAATTAATAAATTATTAATTATAATGAATTTTTTTTTAATAAAAACATAATCATAAAATTAAAATTGAAGAAAAAAAATGAAATAATTTATATTAAATGAAATAAAAAATGAATATTATAACTTCTATTAAATTAATAATTGAAATTAATATAAAGAAAAATAATATGTAATGCCATCACAACATTAATATAAATACATGGATATTAATTGTAATGAATTAATGAATTAACAAAATTAACAAAAAGAAAGAAGAGAAGAAAAAAAAAAAAAAGAAGAGAAAAGAAAATAAGGAGAAGAAAAAATGGAAATAATAATCTATAATGAAAAAATGAAAATAAGCTATTACTTGACACTAATTAATTTATAATGAAATAATTTTATACTAATTGAAAAATGAAAATAATAATTTCTAATGAAAAAATGAAAATAAGCCATTAATTAACACTGATTAATTTATAATGAAAAAATGAATTAATTTTATACTAATAGATACTATTAATCAAAATAATAATTTTTGTAATACTAATTATATTAACTTTTATTAATGAAATAATTTTTTTAAAATTAAAATTGAAAAAAATGATAAAATAATCATTTTTATATCATAAAATGGCAAAAAGGATAATTACATAGCATAAAGTTATTTTATAACTTATCAACCAAACATTATTCTGCTGCTTGAATCCATAATCCGACAGTTGCACCAAACATGTTAACAGCTTATGTTTATAGTTATAAACTATGATCTTTTAAGTTATAATTTGGGGTGTTTGGTGTGGATTATTATAAGCTAAAAGCTAATAATCAAAAAGTTATAAGTAGAAGCACCCCTTTCCCAGCTTCTAAATAATCGGTTTTTCTTAACTTACTTAAGTTATTTCTGCCTAAAAACCTGTAAGCAAAAGCTGCACCAAACAGTCCAGCACAGATTTCCAAATTAAAATAAGTTATAATCACCCCCTATAATCTACACCAAACACCCCCAATATATAATCACTTTTTCACAGCTCTATCAAACGGGACTATTGGCCTATTGCCCTCTGGCAATGTGCATACTTTCTGGAAAGTATTTCACCTGATTGGGGTCCAGCTGATGCTCCTTTGAATCTTTTTGAAGGTTGAACACTGATGCAGGACATATTCGAAATAGGCCTAAGTATGAGCAAAACACAAATAACGGGGCTGTTTTGGGGTCTGTGAACAGCGGACATGAATAGTAGACGTAAACAGTGATTTGTAGGTAGTGAGGGTTAAAGAAGGATAGATCTAGGTATCACACCTCGAAAATCCAAGGCATCACACCAAGGGGCTCTTTAGCATTGCACTAAAGAAAGATTGCATCACACAATCATAGAAGCATAAGCTTAATTTTCATTCATTCAATGCATCATTTGCCACAAGACTTACAATCTAATTTATACTAACTTCATCTTGACTCTAAAACTTTCCAAATTAATGACATAACTAACTGAGACTCCCTAGGACTCTTTAATGCATTAATCATATGGAAGACATCAGAAGACTCTTTGACAAACTAAATAACCCAAAGACCTTAACTAAAAATTTAAACACATTTGACTTGAGAACCTCCAAAGACACTTTTAAATGAATCCCAGACCTAGTTAATCTCCCAAGTAGGCCCCACATCATCTAGCATATGCCAAATTAAGGCTTGGGCTTTAGAACCGTCGGATCCACGCCTTTTATAGACTTTAATTGGTTGCTGCCATTTTCCATCAAACACCCACATGCACTACTAGAAAATGAGATTTTAGACATGAAACTTTTTGTGACAGTTTGAAAATCATCGCAAAAAGTAAACTTTTGCGACGGTAAAAAATACCGTCACGAAAGTATTATTTTGTGACTCCAATTGACTGTCGCAAAAATAAATACTATTATTAGGGACAGAAAATCCAAAACCGTGGCAAAAAAAATAATATTATACGTGACGGTACATTACACGTTGTACATTTTTTTCCCCCTCATTTTGTGACTTTTTTTTGTGTGATGCCTTTTGTTAGTCTGTCACAAAAAGTTTTATTTTTGCTCATTTGCGACTGTCCTTAAAATCTTCGCAAAAACTTAATCCCAATTTCCATTTCCTCTCCCCCACCCCACCCCCCTCCTTCCCACTCATCCCCAAACTTCCAGACTCCTCTTTGGATAAAATAAATAAAAAAAACTTTCTGGCTTCTCTGCCTGCCCTAATTTCACTCTCTCTCGAGCCCAATCCCCTCTCGCTGTCTCTCTCTCTCTCTCTCGCGCGCGCGCGCGCGCAGCAACAACAACACCGGCATCTAGGTAACCCTCCTCTCCTCCCCTCTTCTTTCCTCTCGCTCTCACTCGCACAGACCCTCACAATCTGTCGCTCACTCTCTCAAACCCTCACAGACTCTCTAGCAGCGGCGACTTCCCACCTCCGGCATCCAGGTATAGTTCTCCTCTGCTCTTCTCGTTTGTCCTCTCCTCGTTTTCTCTTCTTTCTCCTTCGATTATCTTTGAGCTATTGACATTAACAGGTCATTTAGTTGATTGAATATTTTTGATTAAGAATAAAATAGTATGAAAATTGACATAGGTTTGATCTAAACTATTTTTCTAGCTAAATCCAATGAATCGGGTTTGAAGGTAGCTAGATTTTGAGGTATATACATAAGCACCACCTCATCCACCCAATAACATTGCTACATCAATTTTATTTCAAATTTTAAAATTAATTTTGCAAAATGTCAAGAGAGGCTTGCATTCTGGTGTTCTTGCTCTGTTTTTTTGTGCATTTTGGTGTCCTTGCACTGTTTTCATTTTTGCAATTGATTGGTCCATGTAAGTTTTCATTTCTCTACAAGCCCATGTCTAATTGGTTTTATCTTTTTATTCTAAAAAGTATTTATTTGTATATTTCTGATAATCTGATTGTATAGGTGCATACGTAATAGCTTATATATATACCATATGTTATGTGAACTTCACTGTGATGAAATAAATTTTGCTCTTATCATGCCTCACTATGATCCTATTTTGGGTGCTCAATCTTTTCCCTGAGTATTTATCTCCTTGGCAGTTGTCACTTGATTAACGTAATAAAAAAATAAAAAAAAAAATCTTTTAAAGTTTTCTTGATGTAATTTTGACATTTTCATCAAAGGGGCCACAATTTATCCAGAAGAATTGGGAGTTTCATTACACAATTTTTATTTTTAATTAATATCTATCATATTGTTCAATTCTGAATCACTATTCTTTATGATGATGACGAACTTCCATATCTAGACTAGAACTTGACACAATGATGAGAATCCAATGTTTGGCACTTTAGTCTCTTGTTCGTATCTTCAAAAAGTCCAAAAGAAGACGCTCCAAAATTCAACCTGTACTCTATACTTGTTGTCTCTTCTGCTTCATGGTTTCTTCTCTATTTGGCCTTCAGAAGTCCAAAAAAGGTGGATGCAAAAGTTGAACCAACTCCCACCTCTCTCTCTTTGTCACTCTCTCTAAAGAAGGTGGACCCAAAAATTAAACAACCTCTCTCTCTCTGTGTGTATGTGAAAAATTAGGCCACTCTTTAACAAAAGTTAGTCAGGTAACATTGTATAAGGGTTGGCAGCCGAGCACAATGTAAAATGCTTGACAGTCAATGTGAGATTTCATAGTTACACTATAAAGTACCAAATAATCACATGATACGATTCATACAAAAAGATGATTTGATTGTACCTGATTTTAAACCAAAATAATTAATTAAAATCATTCCCAAGTCATGTCATGGAAGATATCATGGCTATTAGCTAACCTCACATAACATGTTCTCTTTTTTAATGCTCTACCGGCCTGCTCAACTTTTACATAAATTAGCCGCCTCTCCTCCACTTTTGTACTATTTACTATAATAATAGCAACTTATGGTGGCAGCAGCGGCACATGTGATTCATATCCCCCCTCCCCTCACTTATCCATGACTTGCAATTCTAACATTCTCTATTAGCAGTACCGCCAAATTAATAAACTTCTTTTCACATTTTGCTGATTAATTATTCAATAACCTTGTTTTATGCAGCTTATTAGAAACTTTTTACAATTTTTTTTTTTTTCCGTCAAAGTCTTGCTGCAATTCCTGCCTGTGGTTTATATATAATTTGGAAAGGATGTAATGTATAACTTAAGAATTCATTTTGACTTCAATATTAATTTCTGAATCAAACTGTCATTCATCTTCATGTAAATTGAATCAGACTGCACATTGGATTTGTAGAGAGAGAGCTGATTTGGAGAGGAGAAATTTTGATCTCATACGAAGAGAATGGAATAGATATCAGTAAAAGAGAATGAGAGAAAGAAAGTGAGGTCACTTGATTTGTAAGGAGAACGAAGATCGGGGGGAGAGAGACAGAGAGAGAGAGAGAGGGGGGGATAGGTTTTCTGCTACACAGACATATGCTACAAATGGTGTTTCAGAATATGAAGGCAGTGGGTTGAATCTGGACAACACAGGTACAGGAGTGTAATAGTTTAATTCAGTGACACATGAAGCCGAGCCAGTGCTGGATTATGGAGTTGCCTCTGGTCATATTGCCTCATCTTCATGTAAATTGAATCAGACTGCACATTGGATTTGTAGAGAGAGAGCTGATTTGGAGAGGAGAAATTTTGATCTCATACGAAGAGAATGGAATAGATATCGTAAAAAAGAATGAGAGAAAGAAAGTGAGGTCACTTGATTTGTAAGGAGAACGAAGATTGGGGCGAGAGAGAGGGAGAGAGAGGATAGGTTTTCTGCTGCACGGACATGCTACAAATGGTGTGTCAGAATATGAGGGCTGTCTAGCTGATATAGAAACACTGATAGTGGTTATTGGTTAATATTCTGCCTTCTGGTTTTACTTTTATCTGAACAAGTGACATTTTTAGTTGAACTTGTGCATTGCTGGATATGGGGTATCTTGTTAATATGACTCCTTTTGGAATGGCAGATTAGGCCTGAACTATTGTTAACTGTTTTGTTCCTTGGTCTTGGTAACAGATGGACGTAATTGTTTGCTTATTTTAGGTTCTTCAGGAGTCGGGACTACTTACTAATGTTGTGGTTCAAATTCTAAGGGAGCATTTTGTTATTTTGATGGTTGTGATGACACTTATTTAATGATCATGGGAATGTTGAAAGTGATTGAGCTCTGCAGGATCTGATGCGGCTTTATTGTTGCACCTTTAAATCTAATCTATTCTTTACTTTTCAGTTGTGTAATATATATTGTGCTGCTTTTGTATGATATTCCTGTGGAAAGATATTGAGAAATTGCCATCTACGTTTGAAGTCCCTGTATTTTGTTGCAACTAATGACCTCTTTCTCTTTGGCATGCATGGCTTTGTAGTCTTGTGGTATTCAACTCATTCAGTACTTCATCAATTGGAGAAGTCAAATTGTTATATTCATGGAGCAAGTCTCTTTTTAAGCTTTGCAGGTGTGGGTTTAGAGCTCAGCTCATGTAATTTGCTTAGGTTTTGTATTTTGGAAAATGAGGGGGTGCACTATGCCTCCCATGTATTTGGGTTGGGGTTGGGGGGGTGTGATTGTTTATGGTCTGTTGTCATGGATGACAGTCCTGGAGGCTAACATCTTCTGATGATGCCCCACTTCAATCAATACCATCTCTCTAGACAAGTTAAGAACATAAATACTTTTTGTAACCAATTAAGATGGGTATCCCATGAATTAGCCGCATTGAAATTCAAGAAAGGTCTTAGGAAAGTTAGGGACTTTATGTTTGAGGTAAATGAAAATTCTTCCAGATCCACATTAAAACCTCCACACTGGGTATTGGATTTGTCAAAAATCTAAAGTTGTCAATCTGAGTGGAAACTTTTAAAATCTCTACCCAAAGTGGAGGCTTTGTGTTACTGTGTAAAATCAAAAGCTCCTTCAGTTTGATTGGAGGCGTTAAAGAGCTTGTCAACTACTTTACAAGGCAAAATGTTTTATAGTAGTTTCAATCTTTTCTAAAACCTCTATGATTGAAACCCGGTGTAGAGGATTTCGGGAAGGATGCTATGATGGAGGATTGGGTAAAGAAGTTTGAGAAGCTTGCTGGGTCTCAAGTATTTTGCTTCAATTCCTGCAATTGGGGTTTAGGGTTTTGTTTAATTCTTTGGATTTTGCAATTATCTGTCTCGTTGGTATTGAAGATTACGCTTTGTGCTCAACAATCAGTTTTCCAATTGGATTAGCCTTTGTAGTTTGTACCATATGAATTAATAGTACAGTGCCCTCTAAGGGATGCTAATCTCTTTATTGCTTTCTGGTTAGAGTTTTGTTGAATAGTTGATGCAAATTCTCATGGTTGATTACTTGAAGAAATCATGCCTGTCCAAAAAGTTATCCTTACAGTTTGTGTTGAAAACTTTGTTTAGGAGCATTTCAATGACTTGATCTGGTCCTGATGGTAAAACTTATTTGTTCACCCAAGGAACTTGAGAGAGCTTGTAGACTGGATGTGATTTAGTGGTTTATGGGTGAAATAAGGGCATCTAAGTAGGGAAAAGGCATTCTCCCTGCATGCTTGCTGAATTTTAGGACTGGATGCTGTCATGTATTTTTTTTTATATTTTATTTATTTATTTATTTATTTTGTTGTGGGGAGGGCAGTGGGAGGGACAACAGATGCAGGTGGAAGAGAAAGAAGAAAGCTTGGATTGTGGCAGCTTTATGTATTATGTGGTGCATGGGGAGAGAGAAATCAATAGATGTACTTTTTTAAAGCTTAAGGTAATTCTTATAATTTTTGGTGTAAATGAATTTTTTTTCCCCCTGCATCCTCTTTTCTTCTTGTAGATTCCATAGGTGAGCTCAATTTTTGTTTTAGGGCCTTTTTGATCTCTCAATAGTTTTTGTATGAAGTCGAAGTTCGACGTATTAATGAGAAAAAACTTCATGAACTCTTTTATTTTTTTGATAAGTAACTTGATGAAATCCAAATCTTAGCCAATGTAGCTCATCTTCTTTCCAAAAATAGAAGTGATAATAGTCAACAAAACTTTAACACACTCGACTAACTGGGCACAAATGACTTGTAGGAAAAGACGGGACTAGAAACCAATTCTCGGTTTTGAATCTAGAGCCTAATTTCCTACGTTTGAAGTCCCTGTATTTTGTTGCAACTAATGACCTCTTTCTCTTTGGCATGCATGGCTTTGTAGTCTTGTGGTATTCAACTCATTCAGTACTTCATCAATTGGAGAAGTCAAATTGTTATATTCATGGAGCGAGTCTCTTTTTAAGCTTTGCAGGTGTGGGTTTAAGAGCTCAGCTCAAGTAATTTGCTTAGGTTTTGTATTTTGGAAAATGAGGGGGTGCACTATGCCTCCCATGTATTTGGGTTGGGGTTGGGGGGGTGTGATTGTTTATGGTCTGTTGTCATGGATGACAGTCCTGGAGGCTAACATCTTCTGATGATGCCCCACTTCAATCAATACCATCTCTCTAGACATGTTAAGAACATAAATACTTTTTGTAACCAATTAAGATGGGTATCCCATGAATAAGCCGCATTGAAATTCAAGAAAGGTCTTAGGAAAGTTAGGGACTTTATGTTTGAGGTAAATGAAAATTCTTCCAGATCCACATTAAAACCTCCACACTGGGTATTGGATTTGTCAAAAATCTAAAGTTGTCAATCTGAGTGGAAACTTTTAAAATCTCTACCCAAAGTGGAGGCTTTGTGTTACTATGTAAAATCAAAAGCTTCTTCAGTTTGATTGGAGGCGTTAAAGAGCTTGTCAACTACTTTACAAGGCAAAATGTTTTATAGTAGTTTCAATCTTTTCTAAAACCTCTATGATTGAAACCCGGTGTAGAGGATTTCGGGAAGGATGCTATGATGGAGGATTGGGTAAAGAAGTTTGAGAAGCTTGCTGGGTCTCAAGTATTTTGCTTCAATTCCTGCAATTGGGGTTTAGGGTTTTGTTTAATTCTTTGGATTTTGCAATTATCTGTTTCGTTAGTATTGAAGATTAGGCTTTGTGCTCAACAATCAGTTTTCCAATTGGATTAGCCTTTGTAGTTTGTACCATATGAATTAATAGTACAGTGCCCTCCAAGGGATGCTAATCTCTTTATTGTTTTCTGGTTAGAGTTTTGTTGAATAGTTGATGCAAATTCTCGTGGTTGATTACTTGAAGAAATCATGCCTGTCCAAAAAGTTATCCTTACAGTTTGTGTTGAAAACTTTGTTTAGGAGCATTTCAATGACTTGATCTGGTCCTGATGGTAAAACTTATTTGTTCACCCAAGGAACTTGAGAGAGCTTGTAGACTGGATGTGATTTAGTGGTTTATGGGTGGAATACGGGCATCGAAGTAGGGAAAAGGCTTTCTCCCAAGGGCATCTAAGTAGGGAAATGGCATTCTCTCCCTGCTTGCTTGCTGAATTTTAGGACTTGATGCTGTCGTGTTTGGGGGGGAGAAAGAAGAAAGCTTGGATTGTGGCAGCTTTATGTATTATGTGGTGCATGGGGAGAGAGAAATCAATAGATGTACTTTTAAAGCTTAAGGTAATTCTTATAATTTTTGGTGTAAATGAATTTTTTTCCCCCCTGCATCCTCTTTTCTTCTTGTAGATTCCATAGGTGAGCTCAATTTTTGTTTTAGGGCCTTTTTGATCTCTCAATAGTTTTTGTATGAAGTCAAAGTTCGACGTATTAATGAGAAAAAACTTCATGAACTCTTTTATTTTTTTTGATAAGTAACTTAATGAAATCCAAATCTTAGCCAATGTAGCTCATCTTCTTTCCAAAAATAGAAGTGATAATAGTCAACAAAACTTTAACACACTCGACTAACTAGGCACAAATGACTTGTAGGAAATGACGGGACTAGAAACCAATTCTCGGTTTTGAATCTAGAGCCTAATTTCCGTTTGTGAAAACTTGTCATTTTGAAACTCTTTTTCTGAATCGGTTGACCCACTAAAATGCTTAAACGACTTCGGATGTCAACGAAACTTGACACACACAGCTAACAAGGCACAAATGACTTATAGAAAAAGACGGGACTCGAAACTGATGCCCGGTTTTGAATCTAGAGCGTAATTTCCGTTTGTGAAAACTTGTCCTTTAGAAATTTTTTTCAAACCGGTCGACACACTAAAATTGTTAAATGGAGTTAGACGTCAATGAAATTGGACACACACGACTTGCTGGGCACAAATAACTTGTAGGAAAAAACGGAACTCGAGACCGATTCCTGATTTTGAATCTAGAGCCTAATTCTTATTTGTAAAAACTTGTCTTTTAAAAACTCTTTTCTGAATCGGTTGGCACACTAAAATGGTCAAACGTTGTCGGATGTCAACGAAACTTAACACACAAGACTAACTAGGCACAAATGATTTGTAGGAAAAGACGGGACTTAAAACCAATTCTCAGTTTTGAATCTAGAGCCTAATTTCCATTTGTGAAAACGTATCCTTTAGAAACTTTTTTTCGAACCGGTTCACACTAAAATGCTCAAACGGCGTCGGATGTCAACGAAACCTGACACACATGACTAACTAGGTACAAATGACTAGTCAGAAAAG